AGAGGCATTATTTTCAAGATCGCCTCCTGAAGAGTTTCGACTTTGACTTTGGCTTCTGTATCCCGAACAGCCGGAACACGTGTGAACATATTTACGAGTTTCCTCAGCTCCCAGATGACCTCAGTGAGTGTTCTGGTTACTATTTGATCTAACTATATAGTCCTTTAATGAATATAACAGCTCTTTATGCTATTAAACCAAACATGTTTTTTTTTTTTTTTTAATTGTTAAATTTAACAGGTTATTATACACTGCGCAAATAAAAAATATTTTCTTCATTTAATTTTTTTAAACCGCTTTATTTTTGCTTCCCCACTGACAGATATTTTTTCTTGTTTTAATTATAAACTCAACTGTATACTCCTTTAATGAATATACAATATCTTTTAGATATTTAATAAAGCAGTCATTCAAAGGGAAAAGTTTGTTTTACCCCATTGACAAATATTTTATAACTTTACAACTAAATTTGATTTAAGATTTTAAATAATTTTGCTATTCGAGTAAATGTATATAGAATTTTTTTATGTATTTGTATTGTAGAAAAAAAGACAAACAAACTGTATGAAAATAATTTTTTGCAATGTACATCGGGAGGGGTTGACAGTATAATTATAATTACAATTTATAATACAACATCATTTAGAATTGTAATATATTATCTGTAATATTATAATTTATATAATTTTATAATTATTCTATAATCTGAGAAAACAAACTACCACGTTGAATTAATACTGAACTTTTTTCCCACTCAAAAGAGGAAGGGTGAGAGAGGAAATTTGGCACAGAAGAGTAACCGATTGCTTTACTAGTACCATATTGACCTTACTCTGTCTGACATTTCACTCGTCCTGTCAGGCTTGTATCAAATTTCAGACCTCCTTCTCTTACCAGTGCTCAGATAGAGAAGAGTGCATTACATGTCTGTGTTCATTTGTTAAAGTGCCATGTAACACGCTGTGCTGTGGCGTTTCTTTGTCTCCTGCAGTTCGATTGATGATTGAGCACCCGTATGAGACCAGATCAGACAGTTTCTACTTTGTGGACAACAAACTCATCATGCACAACAAGGCAGACTACGCTTACAACGGGGGCCAGTAGTGCCTCTTCAACAGGAAACCTGACGATTGTTTGTTGGAGTGACCGTGTGGTTTTGCGTGGAATGCAAATACAGGACCGCCCCTCACTACCAGCTACACATGGTGTTGTCACCAGCATTACGATCTGGCACCATCGACCCACCCAACTGGAAATGACCTTCCCTCAGTGAAGTTCCTGCATTCCACAGACTGCACGCACTACTTGTGGGTTTGGCCAAAAAAAGCGGAGCCTTTCTCCACCGCCACACTCGACTAGCCGGAACTGAAGAATTGTCCTGTCGTCCTGCTTTAGGGCTACTACAATAGAGGAGTTTTGGTTTTGTAACTCTTGTTGTCTTCCTGCACCCACCACCTTTTCTCCAGTTTTGTGAGATTTTTAAAGCTCTGAAGTTTTGTTAACAAACTCAATCTTGATTATCTGAATGGGGTCTTTCGAAATGTCCTAAAATGAAGCAATCCTGCCACATATATCTTTGGTTATTAAACAAAAAGAGGAGTTTTGCACAGATTAGATTTGCAGTTAATGATGATCATTAAAGTGATAGAATGGATATCGCGGTATATTATTGAGATCGTTCTGTTTATCAGAGCCAACACTATTGCAACACTCTCGGACATGTGATCAGGATTAGTATGTCAAGTTAAAGAGGATGTGATCTGTTTTTTTGTGTGGTGTGTGTGTGTGTGTGTGACCATAACCTTAAACAGTTGCAGGTTTTTGTTTAACTACGCTCCCGTTCAAAAGTTTGGATTCAGTAATATTTTTAATGTTTTTGGAAAAATATTCACCAAGCTGCATTTATTTGATCAAAAATACAGTAAAAACAGTAATTTTGTGAAATATTTTCTATTTTAATATATTTTAAAATGTAAGTTATTCCTATGATGTTAAGCAGAATTTCTTATTAAAAAACTTACTGACCCCAAAATTTTGAACCCTAAACTGACCTCATGTAGAGACCAAGAATGTGGCCGCTTATTAATAAGTAATTGCATTTAGGAGTGTGATTCTCGAGGTCTTTTATTTTTGTCTCCCTGTTTTATGTCAAGTCTTTATCTGACAAAAAGTGGAGTTTTTGCAGGTGTGTAGTGTCAGTCCTGTAGGGATCTGGAATGGATATGGCTGCATGCACTGTGGGGGTTCACAGGGCATCTGTCTTTGTCATGTATGAGGGCTTTCGATGTCGGACTCAGCTGTGCATACAGAAACCCTGTTTTCACTGGTGTCACACACAGAGAAGTTTGGGATTCCCAACATGGTGTCTTTGTGCACCTTTCAAGCTGGTTAGCCTCTATCATAGCTTTGATGTTTACCTTTGATCTAATTCAGGTAAACTGAATGCTGATGCTTAATAGCGGTTGGGAATTAGGCGAGGCGATTAGTTGAGAAAAATTGAAAAATTAATTTTTTTTTAATATTAACTTGATTTGATTAGCTTATGATCAAAGCAAATCATGTTACAGTTGCAAAACACCCATTGTTACTCATTCAAAGTCAGTCCTCAGCTCTCAATCCATTCACAAACAAGTCAGTCCTCAGCTGGACGGTGACTTGCGTATATTCTTAAGTGTCCTTAAGAAAGAAAAGCTGTAATGTGAGGCTGAAGGACCAATGTTTGTGAAGTATTTGTGGTTGCATGTCTGTCTAATGCCTAACCTGTGCGGTTTACATAGGTCTGTGTACCATCTGTGTGTTGACATGCTGTAATTTAAACTGAGTAGTTTACCACACAGGTTTCGATCCATTTATTAGCTTTACTACAAACTGCACACAAGATAAAATATTTGGTTTTATTCCTATTAATTTTCCCCCTGTTTCAGTCTCAATTTATGTTTAATCCCTTACTGAGAGACCTAATAAAGTGTCTTTATATTCTTTAAAATATTCTGTTTTCAACAAGGATGTGATCCGCTCATCTTTGGTGGTTTCTTGTATATCATGCACACTAATGTGTGGATTTAGTCATAGCAGTTACTTTAGGAATGCTGCTCATGCTTTACATTTGTTGAGTGATATGTCAACTGGAATATATTGCTCTTTTTATTTAGCCATTTGTTATGTCAGATTGTTTTCCATCTAATGAAGCCTGTATCAGGACTCTTATAATGAAAGATTTCATAATATGACATTCTCTAACACATCATTCTGCAAAAATGACTTGTTTGTACATTAGGTAGAGATAACAGGGACCATTAAAGTGAATAGTAGGTACATTAAACCTTAAGGAAACACTTTCATTAATAACAAGCATGAGTGATACTTATGGCTTTAAGATTGTTTACATTAAATATTCGTCTAAAATAAATTCTCATTAAATTTTTTTAGCCCTTGAAGCTCAGTTGCCTATATATGTATATTGTACGTGTACAGTTACCGCTGCATCAGAATGATGTTCCCCATGTGTACCCTGAGATCTAGGCTCTTGGTTTAAAGATGTTGTCAAGATCAACTGCAACTGAAGACAAGTGTGTGCCCCGCTTTACTCTCTTTTTCAGAATTGTAGGAACATTGTATTATACTGTATAAAATAGGAATTCTGTTCAGATGTGGCAGGGGGATTTTGTTCAGGAAGATAAATAAAATACATTTTATAAACGAAATCTGTTTTATTCTTAACTCCACAGCACGATCCAATATTGTACCACAAGGTGGCAGCCAGCAAATGATTTCAGATATTCAAATATTTTCATTTTTTATTTGGATTAATATAACATGTTTTGTAGAGCCCTAATAGGAGAATGTATTCAAACGTACAATACACTTTTAAAGTATTATCCATTATGCCAAGATGCACGTATTTATTTGGGAAGTCGTTTCTAGTTGATCACAATGGTAAGGCAGGTCTGTTTGCTGGTTTTGGATGCATTTCGGTTGGATGCCATGGAGATCTGCAAACCAGCTCACAGCAAACCATCCGACTGGTTTATTAGCGTTTGTTTAAGGTAATATTTGAGCACCACGTGCTTCTCCTAAATTTGATCGGAAGTGGTGATCACTATGGAATGCCAATCCTGCCATAATTATAAATATATGTAAAAACGCTAATATAAATATATATATATATATATATATATATATATATACATATATTTTATCTTTTATTTATTTTCACATTTCTGTATTTATGTATTTCCACATTTATTAATTTATACATTTATTTATTTTCACATTTATTTATTTCTACATTTCTTTGTCAGTAGGGTAATGAGGAGGGCGTGTTTTATCTCAGGAATAGCAATCGAGCCAGAGTAGGCGAGGGGTAAGCTTTGAGACAACAGTGACACCTTGTGGTGCCCAAACGAAGTACAAGAAGTGTTGCCTACATGATGCGCCTGTTGATAGTATGGGATGTATGATTTAGATGGGCAATATGGGCAAAATCTTATATCACAGGTTATTATTTCAATTTCACGTGGGTGTTTGTTTCTGCTGGGACGCGTGCAATCTGTGATCGAGTACATTTGCTGAAGCTGGCGAAAGCCTGCAATTGCTTTCTTATGCGCACTGTTTTTCTAGGTTTCACTTTCAACGCATGCAATGCATGTTTTAAAGATTCGGGATAGAAGGAGGCATCAGTTACTGTAGAAGATTTGTCGCCTCGCACCACTTCCCGTAATGGGTTCTCTTGGTGTAGACACAGCTTTAGATACGGATTAATCGGCCGATTAATCACAACTCTTAGCAGGCATGTGCACACATAGACATCAAAGGGGGCTTGAGCACCTGCCCCTTTTCTTCCTCGAGAGAAAGTGCCCTTTTTTCTGGGGAGTGTTTTTTTTATTTTTAATAAATGTATATATGTGCGTGTGTGTGTGTGTGTGTTTCATTTTGTGCACAGCTTTCCCTGTCAAACAAATAAAAAATCTAAATATCAGGTGGGGTCGGGAAATGTTGAGACTGTAGAGTTCAGATGCCTTTCTCCCCTCCGCGCAGGCGCCCAGCACAGCAGTGTATCAGCACACATTGATCAGCTGCACATCACTGACAGACAGAGAGCCGCAGAAGTGAAGCCTTCTCTCCCTTTACAGTAGTGTTTGTCTTGGTGTGGAGGTGAGTGGTGATGAACAACAGAATAAGTTACTAGGGCTGCCCCCGACTAAAGATTTTTCTGGTCGACTAGTAGTCGTTCATTTGAAGCATTAGTCGACTAATCGCACATTTATTAATAAACCATTTAAATCATTATAATGAGCCTTTAACTGCCTACATAGCCTAATAAGCGCTCAAGCACATGCATTAAGCTTGCCACAGCGCACTGGCAGAAGCTAATGATTATGTATGTGTCAGGGAAAAACAGTTAAGGAGGCTGCATTAACATTTTAATAATGTATTGATAAAGCCTGCAATTGCTTTCTTATGCGCACTGTTTTTCTAGGTTTCACTTTCAACGCATGCAATGCATGTTTTAAAGATTCGGGATAGAAGGAGGCATCAGTTACTGTAGAAGATTTGTCGCCTCGCACCACTTCCCGTAATGGGTTCTGTTGGTGTAGACACAGCTTTAGATACAGATTAATCGGCTGATTAATCACAACTCTTAGCAGGCATGTGCACACATAGACATCAAAGGGGGCTTGAGCACCTGCCCCTTTTCTTCCTCGAGAGAAAGTGCCCTTTTTTCTGGGGAGTGTTTTTTTTATTTTTAATAAATGTATATATGTGCGTGTGTGTGTGTGTGTGTTTCATTTTGTGCACAGCTTTCCCTGTCAAACAAATAAAAAATCTAAATATCAGGTGGGGTCGGGAAATGTTGAGACTGTAGAGTTCAGATGCCTTTCTCCCCTCCGCGCAGGCGCCCAGCACAGCAGTGTATCAGCACACATTGATCAGCTGCACATCACTGACAGACAGAGAGCCGCAGAAGTGAAGCCTTCTCTCCCTTTACAGTAGTGTTTGTCTTGGTGTGGAGGTGAGTGGTGATGAACAACAGAATAAGTTACTAGGGCTGCCCCCGACTAAAGATTTTTCTGGTCGACTAGTAGTCGTTCATTTGAAGCATTAGTCGACTAATCGCACATTTATTAATAAACCATTTAAATCATTATAATGAGCCTTTAACTGCCTACATAGCCTAATAAGCGCTCAAGCACATGCATTAAGCTTGCCACAGCGCACTGGCAGAAGCTAATGATTATGTATGTGTCAGGGAAAAACAGTTAAGGAGGCTGCATTAACATTTTAATAATGTATTGATAAACTACTGCTTTTTTTGTTTTCTGTTTAAGAGATGAAGTCGACGTAACTCGTCTCCGCAGTATAGTGATGCGCCTTTATGCATGTTTCATAGGGATTACATAATCCAAGAATATTTGTTTGCCCAGCCTGAGAGAGTTTTCATATGACCCCTTTAAGGCTAAAAGTAGCTCATAACTCGCTGATTTAGGAGAACATCTTAAAAATAATGGGTGTGTCAGTCCTAAATTTAGGACTCCTAAATTTTTGTTCTAAGAGTATTTGACAAAGTGTTTTAGCGCTAAAGCTAGCTCCTAAATCTGTGAAACGTTAGGAGTAGTGAAGAGGACTCCAAAGTCATAAGACCAAATCTGAACTAAACTAAAATGGCTGTTGCCAGCAATCTACCTCGGAATATAAACATTTTAGAAACATTTGACCATAATGAGCTTTTAAAAAGGTAGCTATCGGCTTTGGTTTGGAGGTTATCCCAACTCCAAATGTTTTATTATATCCTTAATATAGGCCTATATATAGGCTAGGCTAGCTGTTCTCGCGTCCAGTTTGGTTTTCTTTTATGTTTGCTTGTCTAGCTATCAGCCATGATTATTCTACTCTGCTAATTAAAAGGCTGTTTATATGCATATTACCAACATTTTATTAGTCGCTTAGTCGCAGAAAAAAATAATCCACATGAAGTGGCGAAATCACGCAGTCCGTGAGTGACGGACAAATCGTAAAAGTTTGTCTCAGCAGCTTTGTGAATAGGTTTTAAGAGAAAACTCTTAGCTAAAAACTTTTACTGTTATTTAGGAGAACTCTTAGTGGTAAGATAAAATGTTTTGTGAATACGGGCCCAGATATGCAAGACTGAAAATTTCTTATTGTAAGTATATAGGCCTACTGATTCATATAAACATTTTGAGGAGCGTTTCAATTCCTCTCTCACTTCTGTTCCCACATTTTTTTTGCTTCGTTTTACAGGTTTATAATATGAAAGCACTAAGTTTCGATTTCTTCATATCGTCAATAATAGTAGACGAGTTACTCTTCTGGTTTGCAGTCATACAACGTTCATGTTTGCGTGCTTGTCTTTCTATACTCACAGGTCTCATAAGTGTGTCTGCCTGTAAAGAACATGAGTCTTAAAAAAACGCGTGATTTTAAAATGTGCACAAAATTATTTTTAAAACGAAGTATCTTGAAGTGTATAGTTAATATTTTGTTAATTTATTATTGTTAAAATAAATGCTATTTGATTACAAATCATGCTGTAATGTTGATTTCAAGCCAATCCAAACGAAGGAGATCAGAGTCTGAAAGCACTGCCAATAACTTTGCAGAACGACCAAGTGAAAGCAAAAACAAAAGGTAAACAACCTATCTTTCCATTTTATGCTTAAGGACAACTACCCATTTTATATCTACTATAAATAAAATCTTGCATGTGCCTAAACAACCATTTCTGGTGCCAAGTTATACAGTATCTTATTTACCAACTACAACCCAAGGGAAATGGGAGTTTTGCTAGGGGCAAAATTGGTGCCTATCAGCATATGTGCCATGTTTGCTGATAAAGCAAAACATTTGAATTAATATTACAACTTATTCAAATATGAACGTTTATTTGCACAGTTCTGTTTGACCGGACCGTCTCTCTCTTTAGTAAGTCAAAGAGAGCAGCTTCTCCAACATCCAGCTATCTGTCAATGAGGACAGACTGGTCAATGGATCCACCAACCAACTTCAAAGGTGGAGAGACATTTCCTTTGCATTCAAGGTGAATTTTACTTAAATACTATATACAGTAAAGCAATTTTTATTTATATAAACAATAATCTGAAATAATAATTTTAAAGCAATGAATGAAAATATGTTTTTATAAGACTAAGAAGTGCCAGTTTCTAACCTTACCTTACACATACATTGACATGCTCCAAAACTATGTTTTAAAAAAAATAATCACAGGATTAAGAGAAAAAGAGAGACATCACCAATCACCAGTTATATCTCCCTGAAAAATTACAACCCAATGAACGATTCAAGAGGCAACACATCCGTGCTAAGGTCAGGGCATTTGTCATATTTTACTAAAAAGTTCACTGTCATATTGGTGCATTCAAGTCCTCCTGCCTGGGAAGTCAGTATTTACGATTTGGGTAAATGTAATTACAATGTCATGTGCGTTCAAATCACTTTTGTCAGAGCAAGATGCTGATATACCTTATCTACATTCAACAAGATCTTTGAACTCTTCATCTACAAAATTATTGGTGTGTTTTGGGTGTTTAAATGGTTATACATTCTATGATATTTTAGAAGCTTAGTTTTATTGTAAATGAAAAAAAAAATTTATTTGAAAAAATTTACCATTAATACAGAAACTGAAAATCTGTAGTTTCTCACTTGTAACGACTTTGTGGTACAGTCAAGTCCCCTTTATACAGTAGAGATGGTTTCAAATCAACTTCACAGTTTTAAACAGGAAAGTATCAATAATGCGAACTTCAAAAACATTCTGCTGGAAAGCAGCTCTAATAAGAAAATAGTGTCATTATTAAGCTCCAGTCAGTTCAGTGTTGGTTCATTTCGTCTCAATAACCGTGTAAAGTGAATTCATTACAAAACTAATTTAATTCAACTGTTTAATTCAGTAACATACATGTGCATTCAACTCATCAGTACGATCTTTCTAACATAACTTGAACACACCATAATCCTGTAATAAAAAGAAATAAGAACATGACATTGTTTCCTTACAGAGTAAGAGCAGCTTCTCCTACACCCACCTGTATGTCTTTGAAGACAGACTGGTCAATGGATCCACCAACCAACTTCAGAGCCGCGGAAATGTCTTTAACTTGTGTCTAAAGTGTAAATGTCACTTTAATCAATTTAATGGATCCTTGCAGATAAAAGTATTCATTTTTTAATGTATCACAATTTCCACAAAAATATGTTTGAAAGAATGTTATTTTTCAAAATTGATAATAAAAAGAAAAATGTCTTGAGCACCAAATCAGCATATTAGAATAAACTCTGAAGGGAAAAAAAGTATTTTAAATTGTAATAATATTTCACAATATTCCAAACGTTTGAACAGTAGTGTATTTGTGTATATGCTGAATATTTGATCAGTTTGCTTGTTGTATTTTCTTCTTTGTAGGAGATGGCAGTCAGGAGCATCTTTGAAAGTGTTTTGAAACCCACCAAGCTTCAGACACAACCAAAAAGATCTGCAAAACCTAAAACAAGAGATAATAAAGAGGTTAGAAGCCTTGCATGTATGTGTTCCACACTAAAGCAAGTTTCAGGGCTTAAAAAAATGACTCTCAAAGAAAAATATTACAAAGAAAGTGAAACATTATGAAGAGAAAGAGGATGGGGACTGCAGTGAGAAAGATTCTGACTGATTGATTCTGAGTGATGATGAAGGGAGGGACAATGATAGTTCTGATGAGGAGGAAGATGGGTCCAAAAATAGTTCTAATGAAAGGAGTGATGAAGAAGGGAGGGACAATGATAGTTCCGATGAGGAGGAAGATGGGTCCAAAAATAGTTCTGAATAGGAGGAAGATGGGTCTGATGAGGAGGAAGATGGCTCTGATGAGGAGGAAGATTGGTCTGATGAGGAAGATGGCTCTGATGAGGAGGAAGATTGATCTGATGAGGAGGAAGATTGGTCTGATGAGGAGGAAGATTGGTCTGATGAGGAGGAAGATTGGTCTGATGAGGAGGAAGATTGGTCTGATGAGGGGGAAGATGGGTCTGATGGGGAGGATTGTTGTGATGAGGAGGAAGATTGGTCTGATGAGGAGGAAGATTGGTCTGATGAGGAGGAAGATTGGTCTGATGAGGAGGAAGATTGGTCTGATGAGGAGGAAGATTGGTCTGATGAGGAGGAAGATTGGTCTGATGAGGAGGAAGATTGATCTGATGAGGAGGAAGATTGGTCTGATGAGGAGGAAGATTGGTCTGATGAGGAGGAAGATTGGTCTGATGAGGAGGACGGGGAAGAAGATAGTCGTGATGATGAGGAAGACAACTCTGCATGCAGTGATGAGGGGTCTGATGGCAAGTATTCTGAAGGCTATGATGATCACAGTTCTGACGAATACAACAGTGAGGATGAGGATGATGACTACTGATATGAAATGTGATAACCTGATGTATAATAGGCTATTATAAAAAAATATTGTCAATATTATGTGCCTTCCAGTCGCCTACTGAATCACAAATGTTCAGTTATGTGCATACAGTGCATCTCAACTTTGTGTATTACTTGCTTTTGTTTTGGTTTTACCATTATAGCTCTTTGACGTTTCTAAAGAAGTGTAAAACTGTGGAACACATGCAAATTTAGTCTTTACAGTGTAGTTTACTATATAGCCTGCATACTTGGCTTTCATTGTACTTCCAAAATTACTGGCAAAAAGATTCCATAAAAATGTTTAAAAAATGTGTTTGTTTGATTTATTTAAATTAATAAATAGAAGTATTTGAACACTCAACTATATATGGAAAAAAACACTAAGCAATTTGATGTAGACACAATTTTCACAAAGAAACAGCAAGCAACAAGTAACAATAACTTTTTAAAGTAGAAAGACTGAAATAGTCTTGTCTTGTAAAACATAATTTTTTTTGTTATTTACAACTTCAATTTTTTTATTTTTTTTAACAGTGAATGAGATTTATCTTATTTTGCAGGTTTTTGTAAAGTTATCAAAGTGATTAGTGCTTATTAAAAAAGATGTGTTTGTTTCAAGGCTTTTATAATAAAATAAAAATGTTAACTGGAATAAAATAAAAACTTAAAGATTTTATTTCAGCTAGAGTTGCCAAGCAATATTTCTCATTTTAATTAAGTTTAACTTGATGTAGCCTTCTAAAAGAACTACTTAAACCAAAGTAAAAAATAATAAAAACAAAACAAAAAAATAAGAATGAATTCTTAATTAGCGGATGGTGTTACCTCACTAATCAATACAGTAATACAAATCAATTAAATAAGAATAAAATCAGTTGCTGTTAATTTATCCGGGCACCTCAGGTCTTACTCAGTGCTGATTTTGCCTCACAGATGGAGACAGCAGCAGCAGACGAAGTCAGAGGTGAGTTGAGCTTTGTAACAGTCAGACCATAACAGTTCATCTATTCTTAAGATGCCAGTATGAACATACACATATTTTAAGACTAGATTACAGTTGTTCTTGTATTTTTGGGATGAATTTGGTTAACTTTGTCACACAGAACCGATGTTTCAAAGCATGAACATGATGGGAATGAGCTCGGGACAACACCAGAATTTCAGTCCCATGTGGCAAAAAAGTTAGGAGCCTTTTTGGACGGGTGAGACACAAGGACTGCTATTTCTGCTGTTATAACTACTACAAGAACTGTTATCTTTGAGTATCTTTGTCATTACCTTTTACTTCAGCTTGTCAGTCAGTAGTTTCTTTTGCTCACTCTCTTTTACAAATGCACTCAACTTCAGGTGTATTTCAGAAGTTTTTTTTGAAACTGGTGACTCAAAACCTGGTCAGTCCAAAAACAGAGAGGAAGAGGATCAAGAAAGTAAGCAAATAGTCATTTTCTTTCATGAAAACATGAACATCTGACAGATGTACAGTAATATAGATAATATCCACAACTGCAGCTATATTAAATCCAGATATTCAGCTGAGGCATGTTTCTTGTAATTTTCTGAAGGTTTCCATCTCTTCTCCACATCCGCTCCTGGAAATTGGATGGAGGAACCACTTCCTCCACCTCCTAAAAGGAGACCAATTCCCAGCTCTAGGTGAGTCGGACTCCTGGTTATAATAGTATATACAGTACACACACTCTTTTAGGGTGAATCTCACAAAAACATGCATGCATCAGAAAGAAAAGATTACATTTTGCATTTATTTTTTGCTGATGCATGCATGTTTTCGTGAGAGTCACCCTAAAATAATATGTGGATAGATGAATGGATGGATAAAATTAAATTCTTTTGACAAAAATTAAATTTTTGTATATTCTGTATGTGTATATATATATATATGTGTGTGTATTGCATTCTTGACAATCTGCATTAAGTTTCTCACTTTCGACAGTGACAGTGACAGTGAGATGGAAATGAGGTTTAGAGAAGCTGCTGTGTCTGTGTCAGACATCCTCGCCTCTGCAGCCCAACTTGCAGCGAAAACTGAGGAGAAAAGTACAACAAAAGAGTCAGCAGAGGAAAGCACCGTCACGAAGAAAAAGAAGAAAAAAAGAAAGGCATCCACAGAGAGAAGGGAGGAGAACATTACCCAAGTATCAGAGAAACAGTCTAATAGAGAAGGAACAGAAGAGCAAACAACTGTGGTGGAAAATTTGACAAAGAAAAAAAAGAAGAAACGGATAAAGTTAGAGGAGGGCAGAAAGGACTGTGATGAATGAAAGGCTTTATTTGAAGTAATAGACCTCAGTCATGGTAGCACCATATTTAATTTGGACCGGAATAAAAACGAGACTGTGAGGAAGTGCTGTGCGTTTAATGGATTGTACTGTTGTTTAAAAACAGTGTTCGGCTGCTGAAACGTCTTTCTGAAACAAATTCAATAGACAAAAACTCCATAAAACAGTTTTGAAAGTTTTTAAGAGTTGTGAAAATTGTGATCTAGGACCTTTTGCACAGACTTGTTTTCATCAGCGTAAAATTCAATATGGTGATTAACTTGACTAAGGTCTATAATACTCTAAATGCTGTTCTTGATGTTTGTATAGTTTTTTTTATGACATTCATTGTGTTCTAACAGTTGACTGTGAAATTTAGAGAAAGCTCTAAATTGACAAGAAATGGGTTTTCAAGCTATAAATCCCCCCAAACATCAATAAACTCTTTATTTTGCCATTTTACTAGAAAGTATTTCTCTAGACTGTTTATTGGTTTTAATCAATCTAGACCAGGGATCCTCAAATCTGGCCCACGAGATCCACTTTCCTGCAGAATTTAGCTCTAACCCTAATCAAACACACCTGAGCATGCTAATCAATGTCTTCAGGATCATTATAAAAGTCAAGTCTGCTCTATTGTCAATTCTTCCACATGTACAGCACCAACACACAGAGAATTTAAATTGCGTTACTCTCAGACCCTTGGTGCATACAGATAACACTAACAGTAGAGCATAAAAATACAGATAGATACAGATTAAATATAAAATACAACTATACAAATAAGGTCAAATGTAAAAAAAAAAATAATAATATATATATATAAATTTATATATATAAATCAAAATCACCGGTAGGTGAGTTTGGTCAGGGTTGGAGCTATACTCTGCAGCGCATTGGCCCTCCAGGGCAAGATTTGAGGAACCCTGATCTAGACTCTAGCAGACTGACTAGACAAATTATATACATGCTAATGTTCACATAAGATTCTTTTATGGAGCATTATTTAAAGTTGTTGTTTTTTTTTCATTTGTGTGTAGGCAGCAGGTAGCTATATGGCAGTTTGGATTTTTACATGGACTGTCAATTTTTATTTATTTTTGCTCTCCAGTGCATTTTTAAAAAGTTTTTTTTTCATATGCACCGGCTCTCAGGCGTATTTCCATCAGTAGCCGTGGCTATTGTGCAGTAGAGACCATCGTGTAGGGATTTAAGGGTCTATATCCGGGTGGAGAGGAGAGCAGGTGAGAAGAATGGGTTTCACTCATCTGGATCTGAGGTTAGAGATCCAATCTGCTTTTAGACACTGGAAATTTAATTAAAAGAGAATCAGAGATGGTAAACAGTTTTATCCCAGTATCATCTGAATACGGCTAGATTAAACACAAGGTCTGAGAGGGTCTGTACCTGGCTCTGGTGAAGTGGACTGCAGATGTAGACTCCTCTTCAATGGGAGTGTCAGCGTGTACACACTTTTGAGTGTAGTAGAAGAGTTGGGACAAACTATCACATCATAGAAGTGTCTTTAACAGATCGCTCTGTTGCAGAACCTGTCACTGTAAACTGGCCTGTCAATCATCTTGTCACTGGCTTAAGCCACAACTTAATTATAATACATGGTTATATCACAATTCGGAGAGATAGACATCTAGGGAATGGTGGTGGGGTAGCAACCTTTATTAAACAAGGAGAGCAGTTGAGGATGATGGGGAATTAGAAGTTATGGTGGAAACGGGAAGGCTCACAGAGTATTAGAATAATTAACTTTTACAATCCATGTGATAGGTTAAACAAGGATACTCTAGAAAGTATAGGAGGGGATGGGAATCAAAAAGTGGTGTGGTGTGATTTTAATGCTCAGTTCGTTATGGGGAAGCGCAAAAACAGATTATAATGGAGATATCATTGAAGACATGCTAGACTGGGGAGGATTAGTTTGCATTAATGATGGCAGTTATACTAGAATCGATTTGTATAAGGGAAGACATTCAGTGTTAGACTTGACAATAGTTTCTGAAAGCTTAGCTGGAAAGTGTGAATGGAGACTATTAGAGCATAGTCCAATAGGTAGTGATCATTTTCCTATTTGCAGTAAAGTTGGAGTAGATATAGATCAAAATGTGGGGGAAAGAATGCCAAGGTGGAGGTTTAAGTCAGCCGACTGGGATAAGTATAATGAGTTATGTGAAAGCAAAATGAAGGAAATTAGTAATTTTATGATAGATGTTGATGTTTTTAATAATAATATATGTGAGGCTCTTCAGAGTACAGCTGTAGAAGTAATAGGTAAGAAGAAGGCAAGGCAGGCAGCAAGACGAAAACTGTGCCATGGTGGAATGAGGAGTGTAATGAGGCAATTATAAGGAGAAATAAAGCTCTCAAGAGGGTAAGAAGGTCACTTAACTTTAATGACTTTGTTTATTATAAAAGGGCACAGGCTATAGTGAGAAGATTAATTCGGACAGCTAAAAGAAAATATTGGAGGGAAGTTTGTAAGAGTACTGGTGAAGACATTGAAATTAATGAAGTATGGAGTATGATAAAGATGGGAAGGATCAGTGGCGGTTCTAGACCACTAGACCATATTCGAAGTATTCCCAAACGTGTTAACTATATCATGAAATATCTCGATTCTCAAATATGTGTTAGTAAATGCATTTTGCATCTTTATAGATTGTTAGTTGAGCTATAATGGGCGATGGGCAAAATAGCCTAATAGTGCAATCTGTTAACTATGCATAAAAACCCGTCTTTTTACTTTATCATGCCATAATATATTTTTTAATACGACTGACTTCGTATTTAATGTGAATTTAATCAAAACATTGTAAGTTAGGCCTACTAATTATAACACTTTCATAGTACAGAAAGAGAGGAAAGAACATTTACATTATCATAAAGCATTATCACTGAATTCAGTCTAGCCAGAGTTCAAGCACTCAAAAATTCCCATTAAAATCTCTGAAGCTGTTAACATTCTGAAATGGATATCTTACTTACATTCGTATCGCGCGCACTGAACAAAACACCGTCCATGTGTCTCAATGTTCATACTATTCATCCTAAATAGTATGTGAGATTAGAATAAGTGTGTCCCAAAGCATAGTATGCAGTGGTGGACGAAGTACACAAATCAAGTACTTGAGTAAAAGTACAGATCCGTATAATAAAATATTACTCCAGTAAAAGTACTTTTCAATTTTACTCGAGTGAATGTGCAAAAGTACGTGATTTTTTATGTACTTAAGTAAAAAGTACCGATAGATGAATGTTTATTTTGCAGTTTTATATAGGCCACTTTTATCATTTAATTTTATATTAGCATATATGTTTTTTATAATCCTACTGCTCAATATACCTGGGATACGCGCTCACAGGTTGTTACTTGTGAATTCAGTTCACTGCAGACTCGCACTAAATGGATCATTTGAATCAGTTAGTTGTCGACTCGAAAACAGCTGCAATCGGATCATTCCAATTCGTAAATTAATCGTTTGGTGCGATTTGCGAACCGATTTAATGGGTTCATTGAAAAGAATCAGTTCGTTCATGAATCAGACACCGTTTCTGTGTTGTCGGAGCATGTGATATATTATAAGGAGTAACGATAAGTTTTATGAAATGTAGTGAAGTAAAAAGTACGATCTTATGCTTTGGAATGTAGTGAAGTATAAGTTACTCAAAATAAAACTACTCCAGTAGAGTACAGTTACTTGAAAAATGTACTTAAGTACAGTAACGAAGTAAAACTACTTCGTTATTGTCCACCACCGATAGTATGTTGAAAAGAGTATGCCACAACTCCCCGGATGGTCTACTATTTCAGGTCGATTTTAGATTTGTAATGTTTTTTTTAATGGAGTCTCTTATGCTCATCAATGCTGTATTTATTTGATCAAAAAATACAGAAAAAAACTGTAATATTGTTAAATATGATTGTAATTTCTAATGTTGGTTTCCTATCTTAATTATTATACTTTAAAATTTATTTCTGTGACGCAGCACTGAATTTTCAGCATCATTACTCCAGTCCTCAGTGTCACATGATCCTTTTATAAATCATTCTTATTCTGATTTATTATCAGTGTTGAAACTGTTGTGCTGCTTAATATTTTTTTGGAACCTTTGTTCCATAAATAAAATAAAAAGTTAAAAAGAACAGAATTTATTCAAAATAGAAATCTTTTATAACAATATCACTTTTTATCCATTTAACACATCCTTGCTGAATAAAAGTATTCTAAAAGTTTCTTAAAAAGAAAAAGAAAAAAAAGAAGAAAAAATATATATATAAATTTACTGACCCCAAACTTTTTTTTTTTGAATAGTTGTGCATATTTAACTATTTTTATTTTGAATAAATACTGTTCTTATTAAATATTAAGCAAAACAACTAATTAAACAAACATTTTAAAACAACATTGATTATAAATCAGCATATATTAGAATGATTTGTGAAGGATCATGTGACACTAAAATCTGGAATAATGATGCTGGAAATGCAGCTTTGCTTCACAGGAATAAATTAGATTTTCAAGTATATTAAAATAGAAAACGGTTTTGTTAAATCAGAAATATATATATATATTACAGAGTTAAACATGTTAAAGCAAATGTTTCTTATTTAATTCTCCCTCCTTTTTTTTTTTTTAAATCTCTCTCAGGAGTTGAAGCCTACAGCCTTTCTGTCCATGCAGCAACTGATGGAAAAGGGGGTCTTTTTATGATGTTGTATTATGTGTTATTGCAAAAATGAGTATATACACAGTATATAAATATGCATTCTTGAATCACTCTTGAGTCTTGTGTCTTGCCTCTCTACAAACTTTTAAATATCTGGCCGTAATTTAGTGACTGCAAATGCTGATTTCATTTGATTCCATCTTTATTATACCTGATAATGAGCTAGTTAAACTTAAGGGGGCTAATCAATATACAGTATATTTCAAGAAACTAAGACTTAAGGTAGCCTACTCCACTTATTCAGTTGTTTAAAGACTGTGTTATGTGTAAATTCATTTAAATTTTAAATTGTTAACTCAAAGCAGGTATTACACAGTTTGTAATTAACATCTGATTCATTAAATAAATAAATAAAAGTTCCTGAGATTCTATATCTTTAACAACATGTACAAACATTACTACAAACTAAACCAGCAGGGTCCTAGAAATGCGGTCCTGAAACGGCAGCCTCCGCTATATTATCCAATTCGGTTGGTGGCGCGGTTACAAAAGAATAGGGTCCTAGAACTGCAGCCTCAGGAACACCCTTCTCTCTTTGTTTTTATATTAAACATAGAATACAAGAACTCATAGAGGTAACAGCATAGAATAAAATCAAATACAATAACAATCAGCATCAAACCTTAAGGGGATCCACAATATATGTAAGGCAAAAAAACAACATTTAAAACACAAGAAACTTGGACATGTCCGATGATATTTTCGGTGCACGGCAATAGGAA